GTAATTATGTCTCGGTCTCCCTCTTCCCCTCCTTCCTTTTATCTTACCTTCTATTATAATGTTCATAAGTTCGTCGTGTCGTCTCAAGTGTCCCAACATTTTTCCCCTTCTGTCCTCAATAGTTCTAATAATTTGTCTTTTTTCCTTAACTCTATGCAGGACCTCCACATTGCTTCAATTACCAAGTTGGTATTTATAGAGTTTTATTTCAAATTTCCCCTCATACATTGATGTATTGAAATAATAAAGAATAGAAGAGGCAAAATACTGGGTCACCTGACCACGACATGACGATTTTTTTAGGAGCATAGTAGAAGGAAAGATAGAGGGCAAAAGAGGAAGACCGAGGAATAACTACATGGGACAGATAAAGGAAACACTAGGCGTCATGTCGTATAGGGAGATAAAGGATATGGCCTGGGATAGAGCTGGCTGGAGGAAGATGCATGAATTAGTTGCACCGACAAGAGGAAACTTTTAAATGAAAAGAGATTGATGTATTGTGCGTTGTTTTTTTCGTTTTTGTTTTTACATTATGAGGATGAAAAATAGACGTGACGACATTTTTTTCCTTTTAATTAAAATAGAATAATGATGTTATTATATAATTGTGTAATTTTAAATTTTATGCTATTTTGAAACAACTGGTCTTGTCATATTAACATGTAAAATTTATATTTTTTTGTTTTCAAAAAGAATACCTAATGAATGATACTATTAAGTGAAAAGTTTGTTTAGTGTATATGTAAATAAATAAATAAGCTAACCACATTGGAGTTAACTTATAATGGATGTACATTTTAATGATAAAAATGAGATGTTTGTTATTCCTTTTGATGGCAACCACGAAACGTTTGTGCGGGGGCGCAAACAAGGTCTGGCCATGTGGTTTTTTTTTTCATGGGTGAAAATGGTATGGTAACCTTGCCTGCGCTAACGGGATACGCTGGCGGAGCATCAGTGGAGGGTGACCATGATAGTTTCCAGAGAGAACCGCGAGGAGGTCGACCTGGTTGGGTATATTGCTAGCAATAGGATTCTCAGTCTCCATTACTAACAATCCCTTTCCCCCCTGGCCATGTGGTTATAAAGGTTGCTTTACAGCACTTAGCGGGCTGCTAACCGAATAACCGTTATATGAGCATGCTCGACGTTGTCTCGTATGTATGGTTTGACATCTCTCATGCATATTTAAAAATACAACATAGATATTATAGATCGTATTATATACCGGAAGAGATACAATGTAAGACAGCGATACATATTCGGGGACATCATTACAATAATAGTTTATTTATTTATAAACAGAGGGCCTACCATGAAATGTTTTCCGAAATTTCGATGCCGAACGAAACACAAATTTGATGTTAAAATTACATAATACTTACCGTTTAAAAACATTAAAAATATGAAAATATTATTCCTTTGGACTTTTATGGCAGGATTTATGACGAATGAAATGTTAAGCTCCATTTACTGAGTCGATTTAGGTATGAACGAAAACACGAAATTGAGTCCGAAATTTCGGAATTTCATTTCATGGTAGGCCCCCAGTTATGTATTCTTTTCCATGTTAGAAAATTTTATAAAAAAAAAAGATGCAAATTCTTAGACTTTTTTTTTAAGTTTATAAATGTAAAATCTGGTCAGAAGATAAAATTTTCCATCTAGTTACCTGTAAGCAACTTACTCCGCAAATAATGTTATATGGATTTAAAGTTTTCAACTTCGAAAGTGTAATAATCAGTCGTAATACGTATGCATTTATAAAATTAAAGAACAGTTTTAAATTTTAAAAGGAACAAGATATTGCGGCGACAGTAAAAAAATAATAGCCTTGAAAGGGGTAATTAAATCCGTCAATATAGCACTGGCACGTGATAAAATTGACAAAAGCATAACGAGAGTATTGCAACGGCGGCTAAAACCGATCGGCTGCAATATAGACATGTGATAACAAGGCTGGTTTTGGTTCAATTAGCTGGTCATGCGCGGTGAGTGCGCAGGTGCCGCGCGAACTTGTTTGGCCGAACAAGCTCTTGACCTTTTTGTAACTGGACTGGCCATTTGGCAGTGGATTAGGAAAGTTACATTATGCGATGACTACAGGCGTAAATATTTTGCTTTTTTCACATAAGGTTGATAATGACTCGCATACTTCTCGGTAAGGTAAGCATGCCACCGCAACCGCAACCCATTGACACTTGAAACGCCAGAGACATCATAACGTCATAGTCGTAGAATACTGACGGATCTGACAAATATTACATATAAAGATTCGTCAGTATTCTACGACTGTGACGATATGTGCGCTGGCGACCCTTGTGATATTTTTTGATGGACGGCCTGCATAATGCATCTATTTAACAGGACAGAATGGCAGGGCACTAGTAGAGGACGAAACGAAGAGAATGAATTCAAGTCAGAGGAGAATTCACTATTAACCACGATGGTTTCCAAAGACTAGTGATCTAATAGAACAAGTAACTAACGAAGCTTTCCTCCTTGTGATGCGAGTTTAATATGATTTTGAAAAGACTGTAGGCACACGGTACACTGTCATAGTGCAACTAAGCTGGTTGACTTGTTTTAATTGAGTCAATGGAAGTAAATCAAGTTTATGAACGCCGTCCACTCTCGGACGCCGAGTGTGAGAAGTAGACGAGCAAAACGAATAGGACCAAAACTTGCTGGACAGCTCGCGGGCGATACGGAATCGGCACGGTACATCTGCGGGTTTTTGTTATGTCTTGGCTCAATAAAGGTTTCGTATGTAAAACAGCGATACGACAATAGTTAAACTAGCAACAGATCCTATTATATAAGATATAAAAAAAAATGCGAGCAACAAACCGTTATTTTTTTTTACAAGTAACAACATATACAAACTTCTACAAAAATATCACGTTGACTATGATTTTATAATGGGTAATTAATATTAATGTACTTTTAATTATATAAGTACAGATTTAATTAAATTTTACCACATTTCTCTTTACAATATATATATATATATATATATATATATATATATATATATATATATATAAAGCATTCCTGTTAAACGGTTTGTCAACATAATATTCTCTTTGCTTTATAAAAAAATTGTCTCGTCACTCGTCTCAAATATACAGAGTCAATCGTCCGATTGTACCAGTAAAACGACAGGTGGTAAAGGACAGATGGCGAGCGGCGCGTCGTACTGCGATCTAGACCGGCCGCGCCACCTGTAGGTTAGTGTGTTCTCTTGTTGACTAGCCGCGCGGCCGCGGCCGGTAGGTGCACTGTTAGACCGAGGCCGTGTTACGTTGGTTGGCGGTGTCGATGTGGAGCGGCGAGCGCGGCCGGTCATCAGCATTCATCGCAGGGCACTTTCCACTCGATACGCCGAAATCGAGAGTGGTATTCGATTCGGACGGACATCGTTCCCCGTGGCATCGCGTCGGTTTCACCCGCGCGTCGCAAGCGCATGTGGCCCATAGCATTGCCACAACGTATCAGCACTTTCACCGTTTGAAGAAAATTAGTATTATTTGCATATTATAGATTATACAATCGATGATTACACGAATTCTTGGCTTATCTGCCGCATCGAGTGTCAATGGAAAGTCGGAGGATGGACGTGCTGAATGATCCGTGTAATGGATGCCACTCGAGCGTACAATATTGTCTCCGAGGTATTGCGACGAGCGAATTAATGCGGTCAAATGTGAAATTATCTATTCCGAGAGAATCGGCTGCGAGAAGCCGATGCCTGCGACGAGAGGGAAGAAGCTAACTGTTACAGTTACGCAACGCTGTTCACGTACCTAATCGTTATTTAATGCTCCGGTGACAAGAAAACGATACAGGCCCCGTTGTATTGTTTTGCACGTGGAGAACAGTGGCTTGGGATTAAGAATAGGCTGATGGTAGAATTTTGTTAAGTAATCTGTGTTGCCTACATACATTACTTAATATACATATTTTTTATTTATTTCAGTGACGAGGTAGCAATGCTTTTGTTGTTATCCGTCTGTCTGAAGAGCAAGCCGGTGTTTTCTCTTCGATAGAAGAGGCATAACGTCTTATTCGCTAGGAGTTATAGAGTTTAATTGCAATTATGATTAATAAATTCATGGTAGGTGTTGTTTCATTCATATTTATTGCTAGCAGTCGTCATTTATAAAAATTACGTAGTTTACAAGTTTTAGGGAAAACTTGCATCCTTCCCGTAATGATATATAATACACCGACATGGACACTTATGGTGAGGCTAGTCCATGAGCGTAAAATTAATCATCAAGCCATGAGTGGAGTTATACTTACAGTTTCTCTAAGAGTTGGGATTTGAAATGAAGTAATCCTTCAGAGAACTCAACATTTGGTACGAGCAACAGGTAGAAGTTGAAATGACACATTGATCGCAGAACCAATGGTGCTCGAGGGAAAACCACATTTAAACAAAGGTGAAAAGCTTTGTAATGATACGAAAAGCACAAAGACCAAATAAAGAGGCGTAGTGGTGAAGGAAGAAATTTGAATTTATAGCACAAGTGGGCCGATGATGAAGACGTATAAAGAGAGTTACAGACGAGTGTAAATTCTGCTGTGGTTATTGCAATTGTAAAATAGCACGATATAGATTAGAGGCATGTGCTATAATGTATATGTATACAATGTGACGCGATAACACGCGAGGGCTTATCAATCAGGACGTTTCCGTATGAACATAATTAATTACATTATTATTTGTATACTTACATAACCTACTCCACAAATATATAAACACCATGTATTATTAAACACAGCTATTATTTTAAGACATTGTATTGTAAACGGCGAAACTTGTTAAATATTGTTTCTCTTTAAGCATAAAGAAAGAAGAAGAAGAGCATTATTCCTTTTTAACATGTAGCACATTACTATATTTCCTTTGATGTAATTCATATTTATAAAGAGAACGATATAGGATTTGACGTCATCTTAACTAGCATCATTAATATCTGAACGTAACTCACCTTTATCCTGTCCTTCTTGCTAGCGCGGAGTATGATGCCGTCATTCTCAATGTAGTCGGGCACCTCCTTGCGGTTGGAGAAGTTGAACACGATGGAGGTGGCGGCGGGCGGTGGCGCCCGCGGCCGCCGAGCCGCCAGCGGGCTGCCGCCGCCGCCGCCGGCCTCGCGCACCCACGGGACTCCGCTTTTTGTTTCACTCAAGCATTTCTTTTCTTTTTGTTCTCCACTACTATTTTTTTCTGGAGTGCCGTTCCATGCACGTTCGATCCCCGCTCCGCCGAGACGCGATAGCGCACCTTCTGATTTCGACTTGCAGGAGTCCGTGTGGCCGTTCGTAATGGGTTTCACGTTGTTTATTTCGATCACTATTGGTCTCGTTTCGGTGGGTTCTGGGGTCGCATCTCGGGTCGCAGGCGGGCGCGGAGACGCTTCGCGACCGGTGTCGGTAGATGCGCGCTCCTCCGGCAGTGCACGGACAATAGGTTCCACGACGGCCGAGGGTGGCGGTTCGCGGCGTTCGGGCCGCGCGGAAAGCGCGGGCTCGTTCTCCAGAGGCGGCGGGGTCGCTATTCGCGGAGCTACCTCCGCTACTTTTTCGTCGACGTCGGCGAGCAGTGGCGGCGGAGTGGGTGTCGAGGTGGCGCGAGAGAGCGTCGGGGCGGGCATGGGACGTATTACTCCGACGCGTCTCGCACGTCCTATGAGTACCGGATTGGCCGCTGCTAGGGGTGGAAGATGTGATCCTCTGTGTGGCATCTCGAAGGAGAATCGCATCGACGAACCTGCGCGTGCGATGCCCTCGAGGGCTGCGCGCGACACGGGTCTCGCCTCCGCGGACACCGCTGCACCTTCCGTTTCGTCTATGGCCGATACGTCACCGACGGCGGGGCTCGGTGACCGACAGTCGACGGCCGGGTCTCGCGGCTCGGGAGTCGAGGTGCGCGGAGCGGTCTCGAGTCCTCGAAGAACGGCCGATACTCTAGCGGCCGGTGCCGCTCGTCGCGTCGGTGCGCTCTCGAATTTTCTCAGGGTAGAACGAACAACATCGGGTGGCGGTCGTTCGGTTTCACGAAGCAGCGGCGTCGGGCGACGTGGGGGTCGCGCGGAGCGGGAAAGAGGCGGGCGAGGGGAGGGCGGAGGGGGTGCAACCGGCGGCGACACCGGTGGCGGCGCAGCGGGCTGGGTCACGAATGGCGGCGGGGGAGATGGAGACGGAGGATGCAGTTCTTCCCGAGTATCGAGACGGCTCAACGCGTCGACGGAGCGAGCGCGCTTAACGAAATCACGGCGAGTTGTCCCGATAATCGCCGGCGGTGCGGCCACCGAGGCGGGTCGCGGGGGTCGCGAGCTGGGCGGCCGCGGGGCCGGCGGAGGGCGCTCGTCGAGCAGGTGCTCGAGCGAGGTGGCGCGGCGCAGCACGGACGGCCGGCGGCGGGGCGCGTCGCGCAGCGCGAGGCTCAGGTAGCGCGACTTGAGCCGCTTGACGATGCCGGGCCCGTAGCGCAGCTCCTCGTCGTCGTCGGTGCTGGTGTCGGCGGGGGCGGGCGGTGGCGGCTGCGCGGGCGCAGCGCAGGGCGCGGGCCGCGAGCGTGCCGCGCGCCGCTGCAGCAGCTCGCGTTTCCATTGTGGCAACGAACCGTTCGACATGCCTGTGTCACAATTGTGATTTACTGTCAACGAGATGAAGCGTAGCATTCTCTTTCATTTTTAAAGAATAACATTTTGAAAAATACCTTATTGTTTCTAAATAGTCAAGGAAATTTTTAATAGTTATCTACAAAAGTCAAGCAAATTTTGTAGATAACTATTCAAAGTAATAGTATGTATAAACAGACATATTCATATGGATATGGACCATATTCTGAATGAAGATTTTTCATTCTAATTCAAGTAGACAATGCTACAAGTTACTATTAGTATAACTTAAAATAATTATAAATATAGAAAATTCCATCATTCCAGCATAATAATAGCAGGTCGACATTTTTCAGCTAGCTGAGCTAGCTTAGCAGTTGGATATCAATGGGTTGTTATGATGATGAATATGACACCACAAATATTAAATGCATAAATAGACATATTTGACTCACCAAAGTCCTGTGAGGACTCCAGGATGGTTTCCACCATCATCTTGCGTGGCTCCCCCCAGTGCAAAGCAACTGATAAGTAAAAGCAAAATAAAAAATTGTTAAGCATTGTATAATTTATAAGCATTAACACACAATATTTTTTAAGCAAATTAAAAGGGAGGTTGGACTCATTTTGTCTTTTTTTCGTGTGTATGTTATGTTAGTTCTTTAATTATGAACTAATTTTGGTATTTGCCTTTGAAATAGATACTCCTATATGAGATATTACTTTTGATTTATTAAAGTCACTGCTTTTTGTAGAGCAAACCTTTTAAAAAGTATAATAACACACTGGTAAAGCTTATGTGGATTTTATAGGTGTAATAACTTATTACAGGAACAACTAATATTACAATGGTTAAATAATTTTTTTTTATACCACTGAGGTGTCAAACAAACATACGGCCCACCTAATGGTAAGCAGTTGCTGTAGCCTATGAACGTCTGCAATACCAGAGGTATTACACACGCATTGTCGATCCTAAAGAAACCTCTTTACCCCTCTTTTGAAGAACCCCATGCTGTAGTGTCTTGGAAAAACCTCTGTTACTGTTCTGTTACTGTTTTTGGACTACTTTGGACAAAAATACTTTATGTTAAAAATACTTTGGACAAAATACTTGATGTTAAGTACACCAATATAGCAACTATCACAAGTGTTGTAACTATTTAAAAAATCCAATAAGAAACCGAGTACTGGTTACTGAAAACACTTTATTATCATTGCCACTTATATATCTATATTCTATTAATATTATACTACAGAACAGTTAGAAAAACATCACAATGTTTATTAATTAATCACACTCAACATATTATATGGATTTTAAAGAACATTTTGACTGTTATTGTTATTTGTATTTAATGTTATAAAGTGACAATAGATGGATTTTAAAATTGGCACAAAGAAAAAACCATATCCTGGATTAACACTACAATACTTTTTATACTTAATTAACACAGACAAAGCTGTGGGTATAGAGTTAGTATAATACATAGTGATGAACTGCTAATAATGTAGGTGGAGACTGTTTGGATCATGATGGAGTTAGACTATAGGGAGAAACAGCACAGTACAACAATCAGAAGATTAGAATTAAACTAAAACAATAATTCAAAGACAACACAAAAAATTATCTCTTTTCATTTAAGAGTTTCCTCTTGTCTGTGCAACTAATTTAAAAAAAAAATTATTCAATGAAAAAATGGTTTTAGAAAATTTAAAATAAGTTACAAAATTGTTATATTTTATTTTTTTTTTCATAAAGATAATTTTAATTATTATACCTTATTCTTTTTTTGTAAATAAATGCTATTTTAATGGCAAGAGCCACAGGAAAAATTAAAAATAATGTGTTTCACTGTCTAACTAATAATCTATACTTATAATAAATCTGTAGAGAGGTCAATTCTGTACATGAAATATATTTCCAAAATAACTATCAGGGGGTGATTAGTGATCGATACTGATGCCAAAAATGCAATTAATAAAATTTTTGTCTGTCTCTCTGTATATTCATTATAGAAACAAAAACTACTTGATGGATTTTAACAAAACTTGGTACAATTATTCTTCATAGTCCTGGACAGGTTATAGTATACTTTTCATCACACTATGATCAATAGGACAGAGCAGTGAAGGGAAATGTTAAAAATGTCCACCCTGCGACGCCAGGATGGGCCGCTAGTTAAACTTATAATAATTTTTATTTCAGACTACAATTTGGTCCGCTTTGTTAGTAACAATTTCCTAACAAACTATGTCAGTTAAATAAAAGTGAACACAACTAAAGAATTTAATTCATTTTAATGTGACACAGTCAATTAGATCAGCATCTGAATGAAATGTTTAATTATAGGCGAGGTGTACTTCTTAGTACGTACATAGGTGTACTTTCAGAATGCTGTTGGGGCTTGTCCTAACTCTGTATAGCAATGATGCAGTTCTCTTTCTCCTTATAGCATAATAATTATCTATGTGAGACTTATAATATTTATAAAAAATATGGCAATTAAAATAAATTTAAATTTGGAATGAACAATGTGCATGTATTGGGTCTGTTAATTTAAAAAAAAAAAATGTAATAACTGCAACTGGATATTTTGTATCTAACTGTTTACTAACTGATTTTGTTTAAAAGATTATTTATTGTACTAATATTTTAAATGTGAATGTTTATTATATAATAACAATTATATATAGTAAGACAATAAAGCTTAATAATTATATAGTAAAGCATAAATAAATATTTAGCTCACAATGAAATAATTATGACAAAAATAAATAATTATGATATTAGAAATGACATTGCAGCCACCCAGCTGCTCACGTACAACAAGCAAAATATTGTAATGTGGATACAGGCCCACATCTGTGCTTACTGAATGTTTATCAACAGCCAACATAATAAACATTTATTGGACTGTGCACGACACACAGCGTCGCATACGAAAGCAATGATGCATGCAGTAACAAAATAGGATATCTGTCTGACACTGATCGTAAATACAATGGACAGTTGATAATTATTACTGATACAATGTGTACTGCGAGTTCGCCGCGAGGAATGCGGGCCGGGCGTCGATGACCCCGCGTCGATTGGCCACACCAACCACCTCGTCTAACTGTAATCACTGCCTCGTTACCCTCGTAAACAAAGAAACCACGCCGGCTAATTAGTTGCGTTGACAGACAGTGACAGTATGCACGCAATGCGTGTATTATATGAGAAATTAGATTGATTCAGAACCATCATCGCCGCCCGGCAAATTCCTTCGTACTCAATCTAGCATTGTGCATACCTGTTAGAAATCCATTGAAGTTCCTTTAAATTTCGACGTCCAAGTCCCGCATTAAGGCAACTCACCACACTGTCATTTGCACTTTGAACAGAAACCGATAAACTATAGCACTCGTTGGCTTTTAGTCACTTTTAGAGATCAAGATCAACCTGGATCATTCACTACCAGCGGTATAATAAATTGCATCGATTGAATATTAATATAGCTCGCGTCGTTATCACAATTATTATATTTATCACTGGTGAAATATTAAATAAGACACAATTTTAAGGATTAATAAAATGTAAACCAATTAAATTAGACATGACAAAACATAGTTTTAAACTAGAAACAAAACAACACTGTAACGAACGGACACGAGAAACAAGACAGAGAGGAATGACAACTGAGAAATGACTGATTGAATGAAATTGAATGGTCGACGAGCTACCGAGCCCGCCTCCAACCATTAGTGCCAGCAGCAATGTTGCTAACATAAGAAAATTTCCCCCTCAAAATGTAATTTTAAAATAAAAAATCATATTAGGTTTTATTGAATATTTGCGTTTTGCCCGCTATTTTGTATGCATAAACTTCGAAACATATATATACAGAGAAACAGATAGATAAAATTTTCAAAAATGATTGTTTTTTATTATTTTTATTAAGACTCCTCATATTTTTTTTTTAATATCTTTCATATACAGACATCATTTAGTTACAATTTTATTTTGTTATATTTCATAATACTGAAGTATATGTGTTTTAACATTGTGATGCCATAATATTTTTTTTATTCAAACAATATATTACTTTTTAATTGGCTAATAGAATTAAATCTACAGGTCTATTCATGAATCTAATTTCAAAATTGATTTCAATCAAATTTAATCACAATAAAAATTTTGTACCGCACTCTTAAAATGAAACAATAAGAATTAGGTTAAAATTAGGTTAGCGTTTATATTGATTAGTTAAATTAATATGCAACTATGTAAACAGCGACAAGAGCAGCGAATAAATTAATTAGTTTCCTTAATGATAACGCAGTGAGGCTGACTCTGAGACGTCATTTCTAATCATCTATAATTTGATAATTTCGCAAAATTATTTTATGGACCGCCAAAAACTAACATTATAATAATTTCGATTTAAATCTATTAGATAATTATTGTCTGATTAGTAGAGGATGAGGTCTAAGGGGTAAGATCTAAAAACAATTCAGTATGGGAAATTATCTGACAGCCTGCTTGATAGAAAGTAAGTTCGTGATAAACGTCAAGTAAATAATTTTTATCGAGTTCAATAGTAATTCATGGTTAAGCGCTTTAGAAATTACGGAACTAGGATAGCTATTTTTATTTGGTTATGACAACAATTGAAATTTAGTATTTACATTTATAAATCTTTCAATATTCATTAATAAACGTAATTTGCATAAATAGTAAAGGATTCTGCATTTGGAATCATTTATTCTCCTAGAAAATAAAAAAAAATTAAAAGTCAGAGTCAGATAGGGACAAATAAAATGATGAACATTTGGCAACACAATTGATAATATTATTTTATTTCGAATTGTGCCTCTATATTTTCATAGCTTTGTTTATCTTAAATAGGATTTTGGATTGAGGATTTAGTATGTTATTGTATATAATTATAGCAATGTTAAACCTTAAATATTTTTTCCTAAACATAAATGAAAACATACTTTGCCCAAAGTAAAGGAGGAAATCATTCTTTGGCAACACTGCAACTGTCAAAGTCAACATTAAGTAAATTGACACATGAAGCTGACATTGAATGAATGCTTAGAATATTTAATTAATTTTTTCATATTGTAGCAAAACGATGAAATAGTATTTTATATATTATATAGATAAATTGGATATGTGCAATACAGTGGGGAAACTTTCTTATTATGTATATTTGTAACAAAATTCAGGATATAGATAATTTTATAATATTTCACTCTAACAGTTTTATTGGTAATTCATATATGGCAGGTGAGATGGCGCTATTTCTGAAAACTTCTTTCTTCAAAAAAGTAGTAAAGAGTTTTCTGCAGGGTCGGCAATGCCCGTAATTTCTCTGGTATTATAGACGTTCATAGGGTACGGCAGGGGTTTCCAAACTTATTTTGTCTACTGCCCACTTTGAGAATAAATTATTTTTTAGTGCTTAAATTTTTTCACCTACTTAAAAACCACTATTACTTCAAATTATAAATCACCCCCCAAGTCTCTATACAACGTCCCCATTTTTTTCGGGTCTCTTACCGCCCCCTTTTAGGCCTGCAGCGCCCACAAAGGGGTGTTATCGCCCACTTTGGGAAAGGTTAGGCTATGGTGACTGCTTATCATCAGGTGGGCTGTATACTTGTTTTGACACTTCAGTGGTGTTAAAAAATAAAGGTTAGCATTGAAGTCGAGATAAACATTTACGACCTAAAGTAGTAGGTACGTATATGTATAACGTAAAGATACCTACAGAACTTACAGAATGGAAAGTATCGTTTGAACACAATCTCATCTCGGATTATATATATATATATATATATATATATATATATATATATATATATATATATATATATTCCATATAGTTTAAACATTAACTGTATTTATAAAAATGTCAAACCTCTCATAAAATAAATCAATAATTATTTTAGTTACTCAACTGTTTTGTTTGTTGAAGCACTAAATTCCCTATTTGAAAGAGACAAAACAATGTAATAGTTAATATAGGTCTGTAGGAGGTGTTAGTTTTTATGAAAACGTTACGTGCAAATACAAATCACAATTACTACTGCGTTTTTCGTATAATAAACGATATGGCAGACCTTCCTAGAGATGGAAGCAACTGCCTATTATATTGCAATTAAGTGACTTGCTGTGTTGTTGTACTCGTATTAATAAAATGTACTTAAATTAAATACGTACATAACCTATTTCTTAGAAAAATCACTTTCCCTTTAAGCTTTTCCTGCTGGTTACTCTGTGTGAGTCATAGATTTTTGTTTTATTTATTGTGTCTTTGGAGCCAAAAAGTAACAATTACAAGGTAACATGAATCATAGATTACTATTGCTCTTCTATTACAGTTTTTTTTTGTTTTTGGTTTTTTTTATACAACTTAGAAAAACAAGCTCACCTAATGGAAAGTCCGTCGCCTATAGACATGAGCAGTACCATGCACATAACAGAGTATACTGTTTCGCTCATGATACCCCCCATGCGTGGAGGACTCAGGTTTCCTCTGTACTCTGTGTGCAAACACAAATAGTTGTTTTATATAGTAACATTTTAAGTATTTATTTATGTATGTATTTATTTATTTATTTAATATATTATGTGTATGTTTATATTATATGAATACATCAAGTATTGCTTTATTTTTCCTCTATTCAATAATGCATCGCCCATATTTTTCGCTCGGTGCCTGAATGGTTGAAAAGTCCGCCAAGTTAAATTTTAAATAAATTTAAATAAATAAATAAAAAAAATAAATAACGTGAATAATGCTACAGTTTTGATTTAGCATTTTTATATTAATTTGGTTTAAAATTTTGCACATTGCATTTTGCTCGTAAGTAAAAAAATCTCGAGTATCTTTCATATATGTAGAAATTGATTTGGTCGGAATTGAAAACGTGCTCGGGAATAAAATATTTTTGCATAATACTTTTACTATACATATACTTTATGACACACATACTTCGACCGTTCGACATTCTATGTATTTCAAATCGTATGAAATTCAAATGAAACAATGTTATCTACATTTGGCGGCAGACTGTGTTTTCTGTAGAACGTAGTTTTGATAACTTGTAGAATAAATATTGTTTTTATTACGTACGCATCCATGTAGCCAGCTGAACATGTCTCGATGAAACTCATCAGAAAACGTGCTCAGAATTTTAAGGTACTGATCATGTCTATGTAGTCATTATTATTTCAGCCATTATCTGCCCACTGCTGGACATTGGCCTCCTCCATAGACTGTCGTGAAGAACGTCCCTGAGCCACCTGCATCCACTGGCTTCCTACAATGCATCTGAAGCTGTCACTCCATCTAGGGGGAGGGGGGAGTCGTCCTGCACTGCGTTTGCCCGTTTTACGCGGTCAAACACCTTTCTTCCCCATCAATTGTCGATTCTTTTATGCAGTGCAGACGATTAATTAACTGTTTCACGGCAGAAACACGAATGGAACAGAGGTACCCAAGCAGATGATTTTTGTACAAAGTCTGCTTGTACCAGAGGCTCTTCCATTTTTACCTACCCTCAGGCATTTACTTCAATTTCCTACTTAAATAAAAATGGTTATTATAGAAAAGGCGGTGCGCGTCGCGTCCACTTGATTGTGACGTTTGTTCCATGTTCCCTTTGGGATGGTAACTCTTTTAAATTCAGTTTTAGCTTTGGTTTAAGCCCACAAAGACTTTTTAATGGAGCTAATCTCTGAATGGAAGCTAACTACTGAACCAGACAGCTACGGAATTCCTAATTCCATACGTCGCAAGAATTATTATGCTTTGCTAAAGTTTTAATTCGGCAAAACTATTTTTTGCTAATGTTTGCTATATCTTTATATCTAAATATGACAGATATTTAGATATTTATAGTAACATACAAACTTAAAATGAGAATGTACCATAAGTATATTTTGTAAGTTTACTGTGGTATATTTCACAAAAGTCGATTGCTTGGACACCTCTGTCCAATTCGTGTTTCAACCGTGAAGCAGTTGTGTTTGCATGGCTGTGTTTCGGTTTGAAGGGTGGAATATGACGTGAATTTACAGGGTACAGAGGAATAACACTTGAGTCCTTAAAAATGGCAAGGCATGAGGGGGGGGGGTATCATGGGCGAAACAGTATACTCTGTTATGTCCATGGCACTGCTCATATCTATAGGCGACGGTTACCGCTTTTCATCAGGTTGGCCGTCAGCTAGATTGCCATTTTAAGTTGCATTAAATAAATGCATAAAATATTTTTACTATCAGACCTTTACATCCGTCTTTTTTAATTTTCAAAATATATTTATCATGTGAAAATGGAATGGTAACCCTGCCTGTGCTAACGGGATACGCTGTGGGAGCACTAGTGAAGGGTGATAGATGAGAATGAAAACAGGCCAGTTAGCCCATCATGTTGAATTCATCAGTAATTAACCATGATAGTTTCCAGGGGGAACCGCGAGGAGGTCGACCTGGTTGGGTATATTGCTAGCAATGGGATTCCCAGTCTCCATCATTAACAATCTCTTTCCCCCCATTATCATGTGATATAAAAACATCTGTTATATTAACATTTAAGTTTTATTGTTACAAATATAGAAAAATTGATAATTGTAAGTCGATGTCTAGGGACAGTTGTAATATGGCCCGATATAGATCAAGGAACATTGATTAGGGACATGAATTTGGAACATTTGATTCAGTGGAAGCAT